TAGGGAATGAGCGACTAAACGGCACTAAATAATAAACACCATTCACTCCATTTTGATTTGCTGTTTTTTTTTTTTTTCGGGGTATAAAAGTATTTATTAGAAAAATCCCTTATTTCGGTAAATGAAAAAAAATAGAAAAAGAAGAGAAAATGTTTATGAGTCTGGCCTAGTTTTATAAATTAAAAAGAAAGAGCGAACATGTACTTTATATGGTTAATAGTTTATTTAAATCACATGATAACTAAGCAATATGTTTTGATTGTGTTTCCTCAAAAATCCTCTAGTGGCCTCGTACGTGTGAAATCTGGATGCGGGCGTGCCACTTACTTTGCTAAAAGTAAGAAAGGAAGACTTTCCCAACGACCCTCTCCTTCCTCACGGTCGACCTCTTTGCAGATGGCGGGAAGAACGTTGGATTAAAATGAAATTTGCGCCTTCAGACGATTTGCAAGAGGGAGAGATACCTTCCTGCAGAATGGGTTACGAAATCTGCCTTGGACAACTCCAAGGACTTAAACACTACCGTAACTTAAAATTAACAAATCCTAATTATTCTAAATTACCTACAATTTAAAGTAAATTTGCGAGAAAAAACTGTACCCAAACTAAACTAAACATGATCAATGTTGAATTAAAATGCAATGTACTGGCAAATCTGGAAATTAACATGCTGCAGAATTAAAGATTTCATCTTAATTAACAGGAAAAATTAACGTGAACAGTAATTAAATTACCATGCTTGAGGTTGAAAAGAGGTATGAACACCACATAAGTAATCATTGAATAAAATGCTACTTATTATAAACATTAAATTAATTACAAATGAAAAGAAAACAATACCTTGCATAAACTTGAAGGATTGAAGTTCATTGCATGAAAGGAAATTGTTTAACTGAATATAGGAATTAATTTGTCTACTGGAATGATGAAAAACAACCTAATTCTAATGGAATCTGTGCTGAAATCCGAAATCTGTACTGAAAATCGAAATCTGGAAGCATGTGCAGAGAAAATCAAAGTATGAAAATTTGCAGATGTTTGAGTAGGGCTGGCCGTGTGTTCTCCCTTCCAAAATTTCCTTTTTGTTCTCCATGTGCCGGCAGTAACTCCCACTTTCTGCAGTTACTCAATCATGGGTGGTTTTTTGAAATAGTGGGACATCTCACCTTTTGACCTAATTTAATCCCCTTTCAGATTTCGCCACCTGTACTCTTATCAGATAAAACCCCCTTTTTAACTGTGATCTTCTCCTATTTTCCAGCTCCCATTATCCCTTTCTGTATCAAGAAGATAATTACTCCATAAAAAATTATTTTTACCTCTCTTATTTTGCCAACACAAGTGCTGATCTGTCCTGGGGCCCAGAATTCGAATCTAGCATGGCTCAAACTCCTCCAACCAACAAAAATATTTTACATGTGGCATTAATTTAAAATTTTGTAATTTATGATGTAAACAGATTGTTAAATAAATATACATATAACAGTGGCAATTAAAATATATAAGTGATCAAAACGCGCTACACGCGGGTTTTTAATCATAATGTGAAATTTTATGTTGAAAATTTATTATTTATTTTTACATTGGAAAATCCATTGAAAATATTATAAAAAAGGAATACATTAACAAAACTTTAATTAAATAATTGTAATAGGAAATCTATTAAATTTAAAAGGAAAATAATAATAGAGTAAATATATTTGTACCTTGTATGTACTATTTTTGGTGGTTTATCTT